CCCTCCCCATTCATCCCTCTCTGGCCCCGCCCCTCTCTCCCTATTGGCTTCCTCCCGCGCGCCGCCACCAATCAGCGCCCCGCCCCGGCGGCGCGCGGGGGAGGCGTTCCCGCGGCGGCAGGGCCGGCGCTGATTGGCTCCGCCCCCGGCGGTGGCCCCGCCCCCGGCGGAAGCCGGAAGCGGGCGGGCCGGCCGTGACCCGCGGGCGGGCAGCGCCGGCCGCGCCATGACGGGAAAATCCGTGCGGGACGTGGAGCGCTACCAGGCGGTGCTGGCCGGGCTGCTGGCCGAGGACGAGAACAAGTTCTGCGCCGACTGCCAGGCCAAAGGTAGCGCGGATAGGCGGCGGGGCCTGCGGAGCCCGCGCCGCACCGGATGCGCCCCCTCGGTGCCGTCCGTCCGCCCCCGCTCGGTGCTCTCCGGTGCGGCCGCTCCGCCGAGGGGCGGACAGCCCCGGCTGGGGCCGGTGCGGGTGGGCCCCGCGGTGTTTGTGCCACAGGGGAGCGCTGCGGTGGTGGCGGGAGGATAACGGAGCTGGCCCGGCGGTTACGGGGGTTGTGCGGGGGCAGAGGCGGAACCGGCGCGGGGATGGGGGAACGGTGGGGTCTGGGGGAGAAAACGGCGTGGGTTTGGGGGCCAGGACGGGGTCGGTTTGGAGGCAAAAACGGGGTGGGTTTGGGGATGAGAACGGGGTGGGTTTGGGGATGAGAACGGGGTGGGTTTGGGGACCAGAACGGGGTGGGTTTGGGGACCAGAACGGGGTGGGTTTGGGGACCAGAACGGGGTGGGTTTTGGGCCAGAACGGGGTGGGTTTGGGGATGAGAAGGGAATGGGTTTGCGGGTGAGAACGGGGTGGGTTTGGGGGCCAGAACGGGGTGGGTTTGGGGGCCAGAACGGGCTGGTTTTTGGGGCCACCAACGGTGGGGTTTGGGGGTCAGGACGGGCTGGGTTTGGGGGCAGGAACAGGGTGGGTTTGGGGGAGAAAACGGTGGGGTTTGGGGGTGAGAACTGCGTGGGTTTGGGGTCGAGAACAGGATGGTTTGGGGCAGAGAGCGGGGTAGTTTTTGGGGTGAGAATAGAGTGGTTTTGGTGGAAAAAGACCTGATAGTTTTAGGGGAAAGAACTCTGCGGTTTGAGAGGGAGAACAAGGAGGTTTGGGGCAAAGGAATAGGGTGGTTTTGGGGGAAAGAATACCGTGGTTGTGGGGGCACTACAGGGTGGTTTTGGGGGAAAGAACGCCATAGTTTTGGGGGCACGACAAGGTGGTTTTAAGGGAAAAAACACCGTGGTTTTGGGGGTACTACAGGGTGGTTTTAAGGGAAAAAACACAGTGGTTTTGGGCAGAAAACCCCCGGATTTTTGGCCGCAGCACGGCTGGGTTTGGTGCCAGTCACACCGGGGGTGTTGGGGCTCCCGGTGCCTCTGGAAGCCGGGGGGGAGCTGGGGAAGGAACAGCCCCAAATGTCCCTGTGGGAATCCCGGGAAACACCCGGGAGTGGGTGGGGGGAAGAAGGAAGAGGGACCTGGAAAAGCCGGTGCTGTGGAATTGAGGGAATTCCAGCTGAGGAGTCACATCCTGTCACATTCCTGGGGCTGGAATGGCAGCGGCAGGATGTGCCCTGCCAGCTCAGGGAAGGAGCTGTCACCTCACCCCGGCATCACGGACCACTGGAGGAATTCCACTTTTTTTGCTCCTTTCCCACCCGTTTTTGAGGCCCTGGCACAGGAATTTGTGGCTGCCTCATCCCTGGAATTGTTCAAGGCCAGCCTGGGATAGTGGAAGGGACAGGAGGAGCTTTAAGGTCCCTCCTAACCCAAACCATCCCGTGTTTTTCCCGATTCCAAGGCGTGTTATGACCCTGATCCATCTGAAAGAGGAAATGTTTGAATTCCAGAGGATAAAACAAAGGAATGAAACTGTTCCTTGTCCCCTGGTGCTGCTCTGTGGTTGCTGCTTTGTTTTCCTGCAGCAGAAGAGTTAAAAGTTGCCCAAAATCATGTTTTAATCAGCTGCCATAATCACTTGGAGATCTGGACTTGAGCCTCGTTTCCCAAGAGCTGCTGGAATTGAACTTGGAGGAGGGGTTGGCCAAATCCATCTGCAAACAAAGGGCTTGGTCACCTCGGTGTGACCTCCAAAACTGCACAGCCCCCTCGAACAACGCTCAAAACTGGATCATTGGGATCCCTTCTCACCCTAAACCACAATAACCTCATCCTTCCCACCTGCCTGGAGCACACCTGGCTGGGGGATGAAGGTGGTGGTGGAGATCAGGATGTTCCTCCCCGTGCCAATCCTTTATCTCTTGGCACCTCCTGCCAGCCCCGAGGGCAGAAATAGCTCCTTTATCTCAGCTTCCCGGGCCTGAGAGAGCAAATTCCACCAAAATGGGAATAAATTCAACCCCACAGCTCCTCCTGGCCACAGCAAGTTCTGGAAGTGCGGGATTCCAGTTAATTAATTATTATAATGAAGTTCTCACAGAGAGTTCAGCCTTTCCAAAGCTGGGAGCTGCTCCTTTCTGGGAGCATGGATTGCGCCAATCCTGGAGAGCAGGCTGGGGCTGTCCCAATTTATCTGATCCACTAATTACCCCCTGCACTAATGAGATTCCTGGAAGTAGGAAAACCCCTCCTCCAGGGCACGGGGAGCTGTCCCTGCCCAGAGTTCCAGGGAATTCCTGCAGTTTTGGGGCAGTTTTGGTACTTTTGATAAATGTGGTGCCACTGGAGCTGTCTGTGCATAGAGCTCCAAGGAGAATTGCTGCAGTTTTGGGGCAGTTTTGGTATTTTTGGTGAATGGAGCTGTCCCTGCCCAGAGTTCCAGGGATGTGCTGCATTTTTGGGACAGTTTTGGGGCATTTTTTAGTGAATGGAGCTGACTCTGCCTGAAGCTCCAAGGAGTTCCTGCATTTTTGGGGCAGTTTTGTTACTTCTGGCGAATGGATCTGTCTCTGCCCAGAGCTGCAGGGATTTGCTGAAGTTCTGGGGCAGTTTTGGTATTTTTGGTGAGCGCGGGGCTCTCCCAGCTCTGATGCCAAGGAAATCCTGATGTTCCTCCTGGAACAGCTGCACCATTCCAGAGGAAAGGAGCCCCGTGGTAGCTCCAGGTGGTGCCCTCAGCACTTCAGGGATGTCTTGAAGCAAAGCTGAGCAACCTGGGGGAGTGGGAATTGTCCCCTGCCCATGGCAGAGGTGGAATTCAACAAGCCAGGGTGAGATTCTGTGAAATCTCAGGGTGGTTTTGCTGCTGCAGCAAACCCTGCTCAGAGCTGTTGTTTTGCAGGAAATTGGGTGAAATCTCTTCCTTCTCTTCCTCTTTCTGTTGTCAACTTTGTGTTTGGGGGAACCAGGAGAGCTGAGCCAGGGCAGGGTGGGCACTGCCGGGTTCTCATCCTCTCCTTGGAGGTTTTTGCTGTGGGAATCGCTCGGAAAAACACCCGGAGAGAGCAGCACTTGCTGGGCAGGTGGGATTTTTGTCCCTGCTGCCATTCCAAGCGTGGCTGTGGTGCTGCTGCTCCCTGTGTGTGTGTGAGAGAGATAACAGAGCTGCTGCACAGCCTGAGCTGAGCATCCAGCAGCACATTCCCTGGAACGTGGGACCCTGGAGCTGGGATGACCGAGGGAAGGAGGGGAGGGATGAGGTGGAATCTCCATCAGGATTTGGAAAATTCCCATTGAGCCACACGGAGTGGATTCATTGGTGCCTCTACAGCTGCTCTGCTGCCTCCCCCAGCTAATTGTGTTTGGTTCTCTCCTTCTCCCAAACTCTTCTCTCCCTCTCCAGTCCCATCCATGCATCCAGCAGGCTCCGTGGATCCCCGGCGTGGTGAGCACGGCCCAGAGGTTCAGGTTGCCCTGTGCTCCCCCTGGTTTGTTTGGCTCTTCCCTCCATCCCTTTGTCTTGTGAGATCCCTGGGTTCCAGGCCTAAATCCATCCCTTGTATCCTGAGGGATTAAATGGGATAAATCCAGGTTTAATTCTTCACCAAAATACTGAAAAAAAAAAGGTGTAGGATAGGGGAAATTGCTGCCCAGAGGTGCTTAAATATGGGATGGGAAGGGGGAGAAGTTTGGGGCTGGGGTAGGTGGTATGGGGAGGCCAGAATTCCAGTGGAATTTGGGAATTATCTCCTGGCTGAGCTGCTTTAGTCCAGCCTAACTCCTGTTAATCCAAACCCAAAATTCCCTGAAAATCTGCGTGACTCAACTCCTCCTCCAGCAGCCTCTTGAGCTGCAGCTGAATTTCCTTTGCAGTCAGAGCAATTCCAAGAGGAACTTTTTAAATAGCTGCTGGCACAGCTGCAGGGGAGGAAGGAGGATCAGGGTGGCAGTGCTGGTGGTGGTGCAGCCTGTGCCTTCAAAAACCCAAAGTGGTTTTGGGGCTGGAGCTGCTCGTCTTAGGAGATTTGGGATGAGGGGAAAGCTCAGCCTGAGGCGAGGGAATCTTGCCAGAGGGATGCATGTGGGTTGTGTGCTCATTTGAATCCTCAGCTGCAGCCACAATATTCTGGGATCTTCCATTATTCTGATATTTTTTTCTGCTCTTCCCAGTTCAGGTCTCAGAGCTTTGTGCACAAACGGGGTGGAAATGCTCTGAAATTCACTTTATTCCTCGAGAATCTTCCCTCAGCAGGGTAAAATCAGGAGAGGACACAGCTCTGTCCACCCTGAGCCTGCCTGGAGCTGTAATTTACTCAACTTTTCTGCTTTTCCCACTTCAGATCTCGGAGCACAAACAGGGTAGAAATGCTCTAAAATTCACTTTATCCCTCTGGAATCTTCACCTCATCAGGATAAAATTAGGAGAGGACACAGCTCTGTCCACCCTGCCTGGAGCTGTAACTTCCCACTCAACTTTTCTGCTCTTCCCAGCTCACATCTCAGAGCTTTGTGCACAAACAGGGTAGAAATGCTCTAAAATTCACTTTATCCCTCCAAAATCTTTACTCAGCAGGGTAAAATCAGGAGAGGACACAGCTCTGTCCACCCTGAGCCTGCCTGGAGCTGTAATTTACTCAACTTTTCTGCTCTTCCCAGCTCACATCTCAGAGCTTTGTGCACAAACGGGGTGGAAATGCTCTAAAATTCACTTTATTCCTCCAGAATCTTCCCTCAGCAGGGTAAAATCACAAGAGGACACAGCTCTGTCCACCCTGAGCCTGCCTGGAGCTGTAACTTCCCACTCAAGCAAGGGGGAAATAAAAAGCATCAGTGTTCCCAACAGGGATTTAGTGTGGAATTAGTTGTAGGAAGATCCCTTTTAAGCAGAGCTCTGAGTCACATTTGGATCCATGGCCCTACATCTGCCAGAAATTTGGATTATCCT